AGCGAATAAGTTGTTATACTACACTCATTTATTAACAGGTATATATATTCAATGTGCAACTTTATCGCTTGGTAACTATTTATTGGTTGCATTGCACATATTTCGCTCAACCACATCCCACAATAGTATTGAGGATATTAGTTTCTGGGGTCAGATTTTGTTGACATGCTGACATGTCAGCCTGGTTGTTGTGATTAAGTTCTATCTGCTCCCAGACAAATAGTCGCAGTAATTTACATTATAATTTTAGTGTATATTTGGAATTACTTACTCCACAATGCCCGGTGCGGCATATGTGAATCTTATAAAGTCTACGAGTACTAGGCAATATGCGGCGGTGGGGGGGGGGAGGTGTAAATAAAAACTTAATGGACTGAAGTTATGACCACTTTTCCCTTTGAACTGCCCCCATTTTATCTAAATCGCACATATTAAGAAATTTGCATAAATGTTTAAAGTCCATCGTAACTTATCGTACTAAATTACCCATATGAACAAACTAAATTTTAAAATAAATATATATAAAATTATATTGCATGTTTCCTAATTTGATCGGTGATCCGTGTTTAGTGTTAAAGAATTAAGTGTAAAATAGGGTAAACATAATCAATGCTTCATAAATTCCCTAAATGCACAGATAAAAAAGATCTCCAAAAAGCTCAAAGAATTGATTGATAAATAGGACCGAGCTAGTTTTAAGGAAGACTAATAGCATGGGAGAATGGTGGCTTTAGTGCTCATTAAGACATGATTGTTACTTCTATATCCATTTATTCTGCCCCAATAGATTGGAAGTAAGGTCTAACTCAAGAAAAATGCAGTGAGAGAGATACAATCATAACCTCAGATTGCTTTTGTGTCTATATTGTTGTTTGTTTGAATGTAGTATCACAAGCCCTGTTGTTATTCATGCTCCATATGAATTCAACTTCAATATTTATTTTATCGTTATATCATTATATGCAACTGTCTTTGGATTACTATTGCTAACATCGACTAATTTGAGAATCTGTGTTTTAGGTTATATCGGTTCTATTTCATTCTTGGAAAAGGTTCTGCAAGTTGTTGATAAGCTCCGTACAATTAACCCTGACCTCACATATGGTAAGTGCATAATACTATCCTGGCCATGCAGTGGCGTGCCATGAATTTTTTCCAGAGAGTACACTGTTTACCATTATATTTATAGATAACTAAAATATCTGTGAAATACAAAAAAAAGTAAATATTCAAATTGAAGATATATGCTCCTTAATTCCTTGGTAATATGTCAAAACTAGGCGGCCTGTTAAGTGTAAGTGTAAGTAATTTTTTCATAACTATTACGTATAATTTAATCGAAAATCTAAACTTGAGCCCCTTGGGGGGGGGGGGGGACCTGCCACTTCTTCCTAGGTATGGAAACACACATGTGAAGTATTTGTTTCATTTCTGTTTTATTTCCTGTGTAGAAGAAGTTTTCTTGTTCTATGGAGCTACAAGTACTGAAATCCTACACTATGTAGTGTGTTAACGAAAATAATCCTAACTTGCATATGCATGTCCATCTCTGCTTTCTTTATAATTGTGTTTCTTTTGTCAGTATGTGACCCTGTGATGGGTGATGATGGGAAGCTATATATTCCACTGGAACTGGTGTCTGTGTATCGTGAGAAGGTAACCACCTAACCATCGTCCTGTATATATCAGACTGATTTTTTGTTAAGTTGTTATGTGTGACTCGGAGGTCACTGGTTCAAGTATTGGGAACAGCCTCATGTCAAAATGACAACGGAATGTGCACCGGGCTGCCCTTTTTTGCTGTTGACTGTTTGCTACTATTGAAATTTGAATATATAGACTGTTACGAGCAAATATGCAATTTACTGTTTTGTAGCTATATTGTAACACCCTGGCTATTCTTCTTAAAGGTTGTCCCTGTTGCTTCAATGCTGACTCCCAATCAGTTTGAAGCTGAGCTGTTGACTGGGTTGAGGTAATCATTGCATGTGACTTCATTTCGATATTGTGAGGAAATTATATTCTTTCGTTTCGCCTTAATCTATTTCTGTGGATGGACCATACTATAAAGCATTAACTATACAAAGGTTTATTTGTTTTGTTTTTCCCTTTTCCACCCATTCATATTTTTTTTCTTTTTCCATTCAACATATTTTGGTCATACACCATTGGAGCAAGTGACTTATGAGCACTTCATATTTTCTCTTTTTTGTTCCTTTTTGGGTTTAAATTGCATCTGAATGTAATAGTGTAATGACTCAAATTGCTTTTGTTTCACTTAGTATCACATCTGAACAAGATGGGCAGGAAGCTTGTAACATTCTTCATGCTGCTGGTCCATCAAAGGTTCCATTAAATAACTAAATCTTGAACTTTTCCATGCTCTGTTATTTTCACTCTTGGCATGAATTACCCCTCCTCTCTCTTAGTTGTATTTATGGAAGACTTCATTTCCCCCCCTTTGGGTGTCACTATTTAATGTTAATGATCGTTGTGTGCAACAAACTTATGGGAACTATTTTTCAGGTTGTCATTACTAGCATAAACATAGATGGAAATCTTCTTCTCATTGGCAGTCACCGGAAAGAAAAGGTAAATAACACGACATCCTCAACAAAACTGATAAAGGACAATCATTTTATGGAGTAGAAAGGCCAGCCTGGTGGCTGGTGCACATTGGCATCCCCACAAGGTGAAGGTCTGGGGAAGGGTTCCACCACAAAGGTGTATAAGGAGCAAGTCTTGTCTTGTCATTTTGACAAGAGGCCGCTCCCAAAATCATTTTACGGAGTACAATAATGAAAATAAATATTTACTTTGTTTAGGGTATAGATCATGAAAGCTATATCTTTCAGTGCACCTCTATTTTTTTTTACAGTAATGATTATGGGACCTATTGTTTGAACCATTTAGAAAATATCTTGCACGATGACAGGGTCAACCTCCTAAACAATTCAAGATTGTGATACCCAAAATTCCTGCATACTTCACTGTATGTATCTCACTTACTTAAGAATATCATACTTTCTGTTCCCCATAAAGAATTATACATCTCCACTTCTGATAGAAAATTTGATCCATGAAGGTAGGTAATTACAATTCGGCAAGTGCATTTTATTCTATATACAGGCTGGGCTCAATTCTTGTACACTTTATTATGATTGCAGGGAACTGGAGACCTTACAACGTCATTGTTACTTGGATGGAGTAATGTAATGATTGCTCAGAATAATGATTTTAACTATGTTTCCAAAAATAATGTTTCATCTGATAATTTCTTTAACGTCATTGTTACAAAATAATATTTTTAACCATGTTCAGAAATACCCTGATGACCTTGACAAGGCAGCAGAACTAGCAGTATCAAGCTTGCAGGTATTTCTTTTATGTAGTTAAAAATTATTTAATTGCTCGTATACGTCCATTTGATGAGACACCTTGAACCTAGAGTAGGCGGTTTACATGTGCTATTTATTTACATGTAATAGTAACACACAAGTTTTTTATTACATAGATGTATACATGCAAACCCCCTATTTTTTAAAATATTATACTGTGATGTGTGCTTTAACTTACCTGTCATTACCACTCCTGTAAACCAGGCACTTCTTGCGAGGACATTGGCAGACTATCAAAGGGCGGGGTATGACTGCAAATCGAGCAGTTTGGAAATTAGATTGGTACAGAGTCAAGATGACATTCGCAACCCCAAAGTCAAATACAAGGCCAAGCGATATGATTGATTAATTTCTCTGCCTCTGCTTCCTGTTGTTGCCTTACTGTTATGTTCTTTACCCTGACTCGATTTTTTACTTGCACGATATAGCGAAATGGTGTCAGTTCCTTTTCTGTGCTCATTACGGTCTGAATCACATAAGTTCAAAAGTCTCCAAAGAGAAGCAAGATGACTCTATTGGCAGTACACATGAAGCTTCTTTGGCTGCAGCCTATAAGGGAACCCACCTCTAGCCACATAAACTGTACTCGATGAGAACCAGAGGCTGGTCTCTGACTTTGACAATTAGTCAATTATTTAACTATATTATCAATTTACTACTTGTACTATTTCCTTGATTCTGTAGTTCTCTCAAGTAACGGTTGTTCATTAGCCAATAAATGCTCCATGAGACTTTAGGTTGTTTGTACTTTGTAGAATTGTAGTTGAGGATTAATTGGGGCTGTTCTTGATTGGTTTCAAATTTGCACACATTTTAGTGGTTGATTAAGTGTGCTTCTAATCCCCATTTACCTCCTGATCAGGCATAAAGTTATTCATATTCAATGGTTGTCAGCGAATTTGGTGACACTCCAAAACGAATTCATGTTTTGTTTCGTTGAGGAATTTGGAGGATAGGGAACTTGTCTTGATTTACGAGTCTTACGGTACAAACTAACGTACCAAGTACTCGGTGTATGATTGAATAAATAATGTATTTCTACCAAGTTTTTTAAAATTAAAATCAATTATGGATAAAAATAACAAGAACAAAGACAACCATATACCTCAAACTTACAAGTTTCAATTGGACAAGAAATAGAAACGAATGATCCAATTGATTGTTTCTGTTATGACAAAAGTAATCACTAAAATATCCAATTTTACTAGTCATCCGTAGAGGTAAAATGACATCTGTCTCGGCTTGACTATCCCCCAAAAATACTCTTGGTTTTGACTTTTGAAGGCCACTAATACGGATGTACCATTTTAAACTTGATTCCAGCTTTCACCATCCACCGGAAAAATGAACCAATTCATTCTATCTTTTTGGCGCTGCGATCATGCGATGGTAGGGGCGGGGCATCATAGTATGTACATGGAAGAAAACTTCTAAATCTTGCTCTTCTCCTTTGCATAGTGCACCATTGACGTGCCTAGCAGTGGGTATGGCTCCGGACGATTCGTGATTAGAGCTATCGTGGTCCCAAACTCGTTTAGTTACAACAGTTCAAGATGGTACATGACACGTCTTTGTGCTAATACTTTTTAAAAGTAATGATATCTTGTAAGAAATTCATACTCAAATGTATAGGGTGAGGGAAATCTAGACCAATAGATCCATATGTTTTTTTTTGAAAATCAAATAACTAATTTATTATTAAGCGATAGCAAAAATACAATGGGATGAGACATAGAACGGAACAGATTCAATGAATCTGTCCAGATCACTAACCCCGCAATAATGTAGTCTAGTCTAACAGCCTTGCTCATCTTCTTGCTACTCCAAATAGAAATTAAAAAAATATAGCTAAAAGATCCGGCTTCACCAGCCACCAGAAAGGGAGAATTGGTTTGACCAGCAACCAACAAAGGGAAATCAGTCGAGTAGGAATTTCTTGAAACATCGGTTTGACCAGCCACCGAAAAGGAGATCCGCTTGATCATCATCTTCTTCCCAGAGTGAGGCGGTGGTTCAGGTGGTGGGCGAGTATTTGAAACATCAGAACAACAAGGTTGAAAAAGTTTCACCAGATCGATAACACCGATTAAAAACGCACAACCTCTAGACATTGCTAGGAGAATAACATACCACACACTCACATGAAGCGAACAAAATTCTCGGCCAATGAAGAAGCCGGACCAAATTCCTTGAAAACCGAAATTGAAAAAGAGCGAAAGCATAGAAAAACCTTTGATTCGATCTTTCATTGCATATAAAATATCTTCATCTTCCAAAATCGGATCTTGAAGGGTTTTCCCTAGGGCCGACTCTATATCACGCAACGCTCTGCCAGTTTTAATAGATCCATATGTTAGGTATTATATTTATAGAATTGACACTCTGGAATTGAAAATACAAAAAGGTGTTCTACTATTGAGTTAACGTCCATATCTGGCCGGTTTGATGAAAATCCGATCAGGCAACTTTATTTGGCCAAAAATGAAGTTATGATATGATTCTTATTCATTAATATCAAATATGTAGTATTAGTTTCAAGTTTCAAGATCTTAATTTTATTTGAAAGTAGACCATTCAACCTTACCTTTTCAATTCTAATAGTTATTTAATGGTTGCTATTAGTGAGTGTTTGTAAGGGCATCTACCTTTAGAGAAAGTGTTTATTGGAAATTATATGAAAAATGATTAATAATAAATGTTTGTCTAAAAGCAGTTCCCAGATATAGATTTATCAAGATATAGATTTATCTAAAATGAACAAGCACATTACTAAAATGTATTTGTCTTGGGCCTCACATTTCGAAAGGGCCTAAAGGAAAAGCCGTTACCTCAATTTCATTCGACATTACCTAAGACGTGTTTATTTCATTCCCAAAATCACAGTTAAATTAGTAAAACATGTGAAATATATTATTTAAAAAGTTGCTTACTAATCCAAACATATGCTTAAAGTGCCGCTAACTAAGTATATCACCTCATGTATTAATTAAACACTAGTTTAAGTTTTTTCAGTTTCCGTATTTAACCTTACCCCTTATTGCACGCTACCCCTACCCTATCCCCCTAAACCTAAACCCTACCTCTACCCTACCCTACCCAGACCCACCCCTATATCTTACTCGTACGCACGCCAACCCCTACCTGTACGCGTACCCTCACCACACCCTATCCCTAGTTCCCTTACCACCCCTACCGACCTTACCCTTCCTCATCCCCCATTACCCCTCCCTACCCCCTACACGTGCCCCTACTCCGACCCTACCCCGACCCCTCATGCCCGCTATCCCCGGGGAGTAAGGGGTGAGTGTAGGGCATGGACGGACCCAGGAAAGTCATCTTGGGGGGGTCAAAATACTTTTTGGGGGCGAATTTTTTTTTTCGAGAGGGCGGAAATTATTTTTCGTATATATATACACTAAAAAAAATTTTGTTGGAAGGGCGGTAGCTCCTGGGTCTGTACTACGGTCCGCCCCTGATGTAGGGTGGGGATAAGGGTACAGGGTAGAAAAATGATGTGGCTGAAAGTTAGGATGGGTGTTACTTGTTTTTTTTGTTAGGTGTTACTCCGTATAAAATAAAAATAGTAAAAATGAAAGAGAGAAAAGGGAAAATGACAAAAACTTTGCAAGAAAAAAAAGTTGAAAATAGTACGTAGGAAAAGGCTCCACAGCTTCACTAGTCCAGCAAGCAGCCATCGATCGGATATCGGGGCAATTCACTTCTACAGTTCTCCCAAAGTCAATTCAATTGTCGACGACCGTAAACCGCTTCTCACCTGCAATCGACGCCTTCTCCGGGTACCAACCAACGCGGCGAAGTAGACCGGAAAGCGCGGAACTGCCGTCCGCAGACCGCCTCCTGTTGTTCGCCACCTGGCCTGATAGGCTGATTCTAGTTCTCCTATTACTCTTTAGTTACTTTACTACGAAGTATTTTGTCTCATTCCATGCTGCTTCTGCCTGTCTAAAAGGACTGCCGAAGGAATACCGGAAGTTTCGAATGAAAATGTAAATCCTTGAACACTACTTCCTTTTTAGTTGCCAAATGTTTCTTTTAAGCTACTCACATGCTACTCTACTTTGACTACATTTTTGTTTGTAAGCTCTACTTTGATTACATTGAATTTATTGATGAATGAAAAAATTGTTTTTTGAAAAATATTGTTGAATTCGTCTCTTAAATTTTTCACTAATAGAGATTTATATATGTGGATGGTGAAAGTTGTGCGTTAGTAAACCAAAAAATGATATTGTTGCAACTAAAAAGAAAAGGAGGAAGTATTAAATAAAATAAATTAGACCTAAAATATCAAGCATTTTAATACTACGTATTTTTAATTTAAAAAATTAAATATTATTTAATCTTATTAAGTTATAAACTTTTGTGAAGAAAAAATCTTCAAAAAATAGCAATGTAATTAATAAAAAATTAAATAAATCAAAATCTATTGTATTTTAGGTCTTAGATTGATAGTTTTTAATTATTCGGGCTTGATAAAATTCCTAAATAAAACTAAAATTAAGCTTGCGATTAATGAAATTATAATTTATTCATAATAATTGAGTTAATATTGACATATTGCTTATTGGGGAGTTCCATTGTTAAATTTATGTAGTTTGGTATATCGTCAGTAGTTGAAATATTGAAATAAATTTTTACTTGGCTTGATTTGTGATTGTTATAAAAAATTGTATTTGTCAATTTTTTGGTTTTTTGTTGGTTGATTTCTTTGTGATTTGGTATTGTCATGAGGAGCAAAAAAAACTTGAATCAAGATTTATAAAGAGAAGAGAAAGAATAACTTGATAAGAGATTTGGTGTATTTTGTATATGTTTACATGTAAAATCTTATTTTTCGACATTTACATTATATGATAAGAGATTTGGTGTATTTCGTACATGTTTACATGTAAAATCTTATTTTTCGACATTTACATTATATGGTGCATTTTGTATATGCTTACTTTGTTTCTCATACGGCATGTTTTTATTCAATTTATCTTATTTTTAATGGCTGTTGGCATAGCTGGAAATCACATTCATATGCCTTAAAATTATGGCATAGCTAGAAATCACATTCATTTAGCTAGAAATTACATTATGAGTGTTTTTCTCTCTAGGGCCCCCAAAATTATGACAGTTAAAATTGTGATCCGGGCCGTAGAATCATACGATTATACGATTCATACGGCCTCTTGCGATTCAGTGTACTGAGTATAAATTAAAACTAAATGTGTGTTTATGAAATTAAAATACGAAATATACACAGTATACTATATAAATAATACATCTGGCTCAATCTTTTCACTTTATCAAATTATATATATATCCGGCTCAATCTGTTTACCTTTTTAGTATTTGAGTGATTTTATTAAAAGATTGAATCAACTTCCATTGCAATTAAGAAGATATGGGGTTTAGTGGTTCCTTGAATTCCCTCTACCTATCCCCCTTATCTCCAAATCAGTTATCTCTATTTAACTTCTGCAGAAGCCTTTGTATTCTCTTTCTTTTTTCTCATTTGGATCCAAGGTAGGTATCCACTGGTTTAAAGTCAAATCGAATCTTCACAGTTCACACACGTATGCATGTGTGTGTATGCATGTATGAACATGTAGGATCTTACGATCCAAGTCACGATCTTACGATTTACGATCTTTAGTTCTTCTTCGTTCCTATATAGGATCTAAAGTTTGACTACTGTGGTCTAAAATGCTAAAGACGGCTCTGAACAGAAGTTTCGGAAAGGAGGAAGAAAATGAGAAGCTTTGAGCTAATTGAGAAGAAAGATGGATTCAGAGGAGGCTCTACAGTTGGTGAAACATGGCGCTACTCTACTTTTCCTCGACGTTCCTCAGTTCACACTCATAGGCATCGACACCCAAGTAAGTTCCAGATAGCTTAAATAAATGTCTTTGTTTTTCATGAATTTCATATGAGTTTTCGCTGTGAATTTGTTGGAGCTTGTAGATGTATTCTTCGGGGCCTAATTTCAAGGGAATCAAAATGATTCCTCCTGGAGTTCATTTTGTCTATTATAGCTCATCCAACAGGTTTGGTCTCTTAACCTTTTAAAGCAGTTCCGGCAAATACTTTGAGTAAAACATGACTGAAGTTAATAGGAGTATTCTTCCTTTTTTCCTAAAATTATGACTCATTTGGTCCTAATAAAAGAATAAAAGTTATTAAAACTTCTTTATGTTAACAGTGAATGAATCTTATTTTAGCAAACAATTGTAGTCCTATATGAGGAAATGTGCTATATTAGTCCTTATTTATCATTTTTTCTCTTTTTCTGTCAAAACCAACTCTGCAAAGTGCAAACTCTCTTTTTACATTTAAAGGACATGCATTTAGTTTTGTAGTGCATACATTTTTACAATTTTCGTTTGTACAAAGCTTGGGCAAAAGGGACGAATCTGGAAAATAAAATTGCGTTGCATAATAGTGGGCTAGTGGCATTTCCTTAATTTCCCACAAAACTGGATCTGTTTATCTCTGGTGTTGTGTTGCAATACCTTTGTTGGTAGTGAGTTGTACGGATCAGTGATTCCAATAGCGCACTATAGCGGAGTAGCAGATTGCCTTAGCGGAGCGGTTGTCAATAGCGCCAGTAGCAGGTGCTATAGCGGGAAGAATAGCGGCTGTAGCAGGCGCTATGGCGCCGCTATAGTTTACGGGGTACTTCACTGTTAGTTTTGAGGGGATTTGGGATCATTTGTTTACTTTTAAAGGTTTTTAGAGTAAAAAATAACCTCACTACACCCTCTGAAACTCATGGGGGGACAGAATAACCCTACTAAACCCTACTACGATAAGTCGATAACTCAAAACAGACTCCAAGATAAAACATAACCTACACCGTACATCTCCAGTTAAGGTAGTTAAAGGGATCCCAGCAACCATGATTTTCTTATAAATGAGCTATTGATGATAGCTAATCTATCAAGAATTATCAGGAGCTTAATTTTTAATTTATGATGTCCAGAGGTAAGTTACTTAACTTGTTTGCTTATTTTGTTTAAGACACTAATGCCTTTTTATTGGTAATTTAGTAAGTACAAAATTCCTGATGTTTTAGATTTCGAGTAAACAGAGTAATATAATTGTGATTTATCATTTCTTGGATTTGATATGTGCATGACATGTAATTATATGCATACATATAATATGTATTTTGCATATGTATTGTCCAAGTAGCGGTAATCCCGCTATACGCTATACAACTATAGCGTTTTCGGTGTTGGCCGCTATGCCCGCTATCCAGGATTGACAACACTGTGTACTATTGAGTGAACTGTTTGGTATGTTGAGTTGCATTTACTCTAAATATGGGTGCAGTACTGGGGATGAATATATGCTTATATGGTTATATACTTATATCCGGGTTTAAAAAAATGGTTATATACTTATATACCAAATAATGTTCACTATCCTTTGCCTTGTTTATACAGAGTACATATTTTAGAAATTCCATATCAATACATGCCATTGCTGTTTGCGCCCATCTTCTTATACTACCTCATCATCATCATCATCATCATCATCATCATCATCATCATTACCGGGGTAAGGGGAGGTCGGATGCACGCAACCTTACCCCTGTACTAAAGTACCGAGAGACTGTTTCCGAATGACCCATAGTGAAAACAACAACAACAACAACATCCAAGCCTTAGTCCCAAAAGATATTGGGGTCAGTGTGGTGGATTTCAAACCCAGTACTGAGTGTAGCTTACTAGTTTCCCCCAAGTTACACCTAGACCCACTGGTTGTACTCTTTAAAATTATTGTTACTTATATGTAATTTGTTATCAGGGATAGTGGTAAGGATGTTTTCTTTTGGACTGTTTTCAGTCCCAGCTAGATCAGATCAGACCAGACCAGACCAGACTTTTGTAGTTATAAAATACACAAATACCAGACGTTTACCAGACAAGATCAGACCATACCAGACCAGCAAATTTTAGTCCAAAAGAAAACATCCCAAGTCTGTAACATCTTTACTCCTTGGGCAACTCTTCTGATTTCTTCATGCAGGGAAGGCAACACATTTTCACCCATCATTGGCTTCTTCATAGTTGTGAATCCTTCAGAGGTTAGAAGCATTTTGGGATTTAATCTTTTTATGTTAGTCTTAGTACTTGGTTTATGAAGTTTGATCTTGTTGATATGATCTGAATTCTAAATTGGTCTGATTTATGTTCATTTTACTTTTTTCTAAATTTGGTCTAGTTTGGTCGGGTGAAATTGAAAGTAGTCCAACTGAAAACATCCTAGGCATTGCCCTACTTAATCTTTTTTTTTTATTTGTCACCATTCTTGTAGATAAATATTTTTGTTTCAGTAACCAACAATGTGTCACGTTCTTTAATCTGTAATCTTATATTGTTATACTTCATTGTACAAACTTGACCCATCCCATCCTGGGTTGACAGGTAATTGTTCGGAAATGGGATAAACAAGAGGAGAGATTTGTCAAGTTTTCTGAAGAAGATGTAAGTTCTTTTGACCATTTTCATTCCTACCTCTTTGAAGCATTTTATGCATGATTTAGAAATCTGCAACTCTCATTAACAATTACTCCGTATTATTGAAATGGTAGAATTAGAACTCTGCGAAAATTTATAAACCCCAACCCCTCCTCAAAGTTCATCAATTTTGAGGATTTATAACTATTGTTTTTGTTTTTTGAAGGAAGAGAGGTATACTGAAGCTGTGAGGAGATTAGAGTTTGACAGGCAACTTGGCCCTTACATGCTGAACCAATACGAAGATTGGAGACATATATCTAACTATATTACAAAGGCTGTCATTGAACGGATAGGTGAGCAGTATGCCTTATTTATTCTCTGCTCATTTTTCTTATTGCCTAATTTTGCTGGTTTCTGCTATTTTCTTATACCAGAACCTATTGGAGGAGAAATTACAGTATCATCTGAACCAGAAAGCATAAGCAATATTCCAAGGACACCCATGGAAAAAGCTTTAGCTGAGCAGCTGAGAAGTAGTACATACACAGTGCCTGCTGAGAAGTCTGAACAAAAAGGGTGTTACTTCACATCAATTCCTCGTCTTATAAAACACAAAGGGTTGTCCGGGCATGAACTTACAAGCATGAACCTTGACAAGGTGTTTATTTGTCTTGTTATTTTGTATTTTACTTATATGCCATCAAACTTTTGTTTATGGAGACAATTTTTCTTGGATACTATTTGTGCAGACGCATGTGTTGGAGACCATTCTAGCAAAGGAGTATGGTGGAAATGAAGATTCACTTTTGGGAGAATTGCAGTTTTCCTTTGTAGCATTTCTGGTATGATTAAAGCTGCCATGTCCCTTCTTCCCTGTTTCTAGAATTTCCCACTGTGACTTGTGAGCATTAATTTGAGCTAACCGGCAGATGGGACAGTCACTTGAAGCATATTTACAGTGGAAACTTATCACCAGCCTTTTTCTTGGATGTGTTGAAGCTGTGAGTACTGAAATTATTGCCAAATTCTACGTTTATGTCTAGTCACCCCATGTCTTTAATATTGAGTATAATTCCTTAGAAGCATTTTGCTTGATAATTGTATTTATTTTCTGTCAATTTAAGCTTTTGATGTGAATCTTGTATTCCTTGCAGCCTCTTCACACAAGTAGTCGTCTATTCACCAAGGTAGGAATTTAAGTTCATCTATGTCTTGTACCCATAGTTGGTTCATTCATTACTAACCTGAGTTACTGCTTGACCTTTAATTTGTTTGTTTATGAAGAGTGGATTTGTTATAAAAAAGTATTTGATTTAATGACACTTCCCTTCTAAAAACTAGAATCTTTCTAAATGAACAGTTTGTCCGAGTAATATACCATCAGTTGAAATTTGGGCTTCAAAAAGACAGTAAAAATGCTGATGTTTCTGAGGAAGGGGCCATGGCATTGTTGGAAGAGTCTTGGTTATCTGATGACAGCTTCTTACACATCCTTTGCAAGGTAATCTACCTGGATTTAGTATACCATCACAAATCACAAGTCCTATTTGTGCTTGTATCAGTATGAAAAACAAAATGCTAAATGACAAATATGGCGTCGCCACATGACAAATAAACTAAAAACATGAACTGTAGATACTATAATTCTATCACCCAACCACAAAAACATGATAAGAAAAGTTGAATACCAACATTGAAGTTAAAATAGTTTAAAGTAGTTTCAAAAAACATACTCCCTCTGTATTTAAATGATCTCTGCACTAGCTTTGGGCACAATATTTTAGGATATAATAATAGTAGGGGTAATGAATAGTATAGAAAAAGTAGGAGAGGGGGTGATAAAGTAGGAAAGAGAGGATAAAAAGTAGAAAAAGTAAGGGTAGTTGGGTATTTTTTAAGGAAAAACTTACCAAAAAGGGAAAGTGTAGGAAACTTTTAAATACAGCCCAAAATAGAAAGTGTAGGGAACTTTTAAATACGGAGGTGATAGGGACCTACCTATTATACTAATAATTAGAAGTAATAATAATAATATTAGTAATAAGGGTAAAGGGTCTGAGTATTGTAGTATAAATAGAGGTGAAAGGGGAGTTAGTAAGGAGGCTTTTGGGACTTTGGTCTGGGACTGGGAAAGATTAGAGAATTGTTTTCTCTTCTCTTTTGGGAGGCTTCGGCCTTGGTTACTGTACTGTTAATCTTCTTAATAAAGTTCAGTTTGATTTTCTTGTTAATCTACTGTAATTGTTCTGTACTGGTGAGGTTTCTAACATTGGTATCAGAGCCACGTCTCTTCCTGGAGACAGAGAACCTGAATCAACGGAACGATGGAGGAATTCTATATGACACAGCAAATGGAAGAAGGATTGGACAAACTGAATCGACAGACTAAGAAGATGTCAGAGAGGTATACAAGGAGATGCAAGCGAGTATGGATAGAAGTCTGCGGGAGTTACAGACAAATATGGCGGAGAAACTGGCGGATAGTTTGGCCTCGATGCAAGCGGCGATGCAAGCGACGATGCAAGCTAGCATCACAGATTTGCGAAACAGATCTCCAGATCGTTCGAAGAGTCGATCGCATCATACTTCACATCGTCATTCACGAAAGTCAATTAGTCCAGAGGAATCGGGAGAGAATTTTGACTATTCACCTTCACATCACAATTCTCATCGTTGACACATGTGACACTTAGCTAGTTCAGAGAGATCGGAAGAGCCTAGGCTTCGCAGAGGAACTGGAGACCGATCGAGGAAGATTAGGCATCCTATGTTATATAACCAAATAAGTTCGTCGCCAACGCTCACTAGTTCGCAAACTGAATCGCAGACGAAAGCGCGAACTGTTTCTTGCCATTCGCAGAATTCCTCTCCGGACCTCAGTTCGTGTCCAAGAAAGTCACTAGTCGATTTTCACTATTCCGCTTCCTCTTCTCAAGTCGTTTCTCTGTGCTCGCCAGTTTTATCGCAAGATGGTTTTGGCCCTGCGCAAGAAATTCTCCCGTCCATAAAGGAGATTGAGAGAGAGCCAATTGAATCTGGAATCAAGAAAACGAATAAGGAGGACAAAATCGAGGAGCAAACTATAGTTGTAGGTGTCTTAAAGTTGGAAACGGATCTGCAGGTTAAACAAACGCCAGATTATGCTTCTCCTAATCTTGCAATTGATATGGATTTAATTGCTTATCCATCCATGTTCCTTTGGAAGTAGAGTCTTAATTGCTTATGAAATTGGAGCAATTAAAATCAAGAACGTTTCAGATGATAAAGCTATTCTGATCAAAAGTCAAGAACCTAGACAACCAAGGGAAATGTTTTCAGAATATTCAGGCATTGGTGAAAGGAAATCTGGTCTAGAGACTCAGGAGGATCATGTGGATCTTTTGTTAGAAGAATTTGCTATTATGTTTGGAAACCGTAAACCGATTTATGAGGATGACAAGTCTAACCATTTCCAGCACTTTGACAGGAGTTCCTTGCAACTCGCAACAATAATTGTTAAAGACTTATCAGGAGTAAACGAAGCAGAATTGCAGCCTATTGTTGATAGCATGATAAACTACCACAAGCTTGGCTTACATAATCCATTGAAAGCATTAGAAGGATATCTAAAAATGGGAGACATCACTGCAAAGACTGTTCTTAACCTATCACTTCCTGATGTTTTTGACTTCTTCACACAAGAGTATTACAGAAGATGGCTCTTAAGAATTATCAGCAAGCTCTAGGTGAAGTTGTTGCACCAATTTTTTTTAAATAATCTATGGTAGTCAGGTCCATTTTCTGGCAAGATCCTCTGAAGTGTCAGGAAGTTATATGGAACAGAACAGCCCTGGTTTGTGGACTTATGGTCCTTTGGAAATTGTTACTCCCTTTAAATTTGCATTGGATATTCCTGCATTTCAGCTGCTAGGTGTATTACTCAAGGAAAATAAGCATGTTCTTAAAGAAGACATCTGGCTATGCAGTGTAATGGGACAAATGCTACTTCTGTTTCATGATGGGGGAGTACCATTGGAGATTGTTGAAGTCTTAAATTCAGAAAGAGAAAGACATTATGATTCAAGTTTTCTTAAACTTTCTTCTGACATGTGCGTGAATGAAGTTCTGCATGAGATATTCAGTGTGAAGTTTCAATCAAGAGATAGGGTGAAGTCAGAAGCAAATGCTAAGCTGAGGCTGGTCAGGAGTTTTTTATCTAGAGGACTAGAAGTATGGAAAAGTATGACACCACCACCAGCTAGATATTGGGAAGGGAGAGGCGCCAGGAGGAAGCTGAATTCCAAGCTTGGTTCCTATCTCCCCACCTTGAGGGCAAGGTGGGATGTTTAGGGAGGGAGTATTGATAGGGACCTACCTATTATACTAATAATTAGAAGTAATAATAATAATATTAGTAATAAGGGTCTGAGTATTGTAGTATAAATAGAGGTGAAAGGGGAGTTAGTAAGGATGCTTTTGGGACTTTGGTCTGGGACTGGGAAAGATTAGAGAATTTTTTTTTTCTCTCTTTTGGGAGGCTGCGGCCTTGGTTACTGTACTGTTCATCTTCTTAATAAAGTTCAGTTTGATTTTCTTGTTAATCTACTGTAATTGTTCTGTACTGGTGAGGTTTCTAACATGAGGGAGTAATATTCAAAAAAAAGTTTCATGTCTTTCAAAATATGTTAACTTGTTTTTTGTCGGTTTTCAGAAAAACATATACGCTATCGGGAGATTTTCATATATTTCTGGGAGAAAAGCAGAAAGTACTAAAGATATAACAAGTTGTCCTACAAATTGTCAGTTAGGGAAAAAAGTCTCCATTTGTCGGTTCTACAAATTTATTGAGAATGAAAAGGACAACATTTTTTCCTTCTTCCTAGAGAAAAAAGCATATATTCCTGGCTCGCCCCTTTCTATATTCCTTGTTGCGCAGCTCAGACTCCAGCTTTTATGGTTACTTCAGTAGCTTTGTGTGACCTTAAGTGTTACTTGTATCTTTATTTACTCTTGATTAGGGTTTTTGTTAATATAATGGGCTAACAAATTAATTTGTTATTAGGGTTTCATTAATATTATGGCCTGGCAGATGCTTTAAGTATTTATCAGGGCCAAATGCTCAAAAGTTTCAATGTAAAATTGTTAGGGATCGGGCACTTCAAATAATTAGAGTCTTATTAAGTATTTTAATTTAATGTTTTCCAATAATAGGGTTCTAGGCCCAATAACTTAAGTGAGGGCTAGCCCTTTTAGTGAGGTTTATTATAAAAGGGGGGTAGGCGAAAGAATAACGCAGGCAGAACTTGGGAACTGGGATCGGAACTGGGAGTGAGAGACCACTCGAAGAGTCTCAAACCTTTTCTTTCGTAATTTTCTGTATTCCAACCTTTAATCTTCATTAATACACTGCTTTTATCTACTGGGATTCCTCCGTTACTTATCATTGGTATCAAAGCATCGATCACTGTACCTGTGTATGGTATTCACTCGGTCAAACATGGAACAGAAGCTTGAAAGTTTGGAGCGATCATTGGAGCTTTCCAGGGAAGAGATCTGAACAGAGATGAGAGCTTTGTTGGACGAGAAAGTACAGTTGTTGCTGGAAAAGATGCAAAGTTTCGAAGTCCAGGGCAGTCACCGTAGAAGAAGAGGACGATCGGCCACACCTCGTCGGCGCCACACTTCTGCCAGCATGAGTTCGTCCAATTCAGGAGGTTACCCTCATGATTCTCAATCCGTTTCGTGTACTCCTGAGCATACGAGAATTAACGATTGGGTTTATATTGGAAGAAAAGTGGATTTACCGCTGTTTAGCGGGAACGATGCTTACGGTTGGCTTCTCAGGGTTGAACGCTATCTTAAATTAAATCATGTATCAGAGGGTGACAAAGTGGAAGTTGTCCTGATAGCCATACCGAAAGGGCTCTGAACTGGTATCAATGGTGGGATGAACAGACTGATGACCACTCCTGGGGTAATTTTAAGGAAGCTTTGATCAGACGCTTCCAGCCGGAATTAGTTCAAAACCCGTTTGGCCCTATGCTCAAAATTAAGCAAACAAATTCAGTCATGGAATACAGGGATCATTTCGAAAGGGTTTGTGAACAAGTATTGTTGTATTTCATATACTTGATATCAAAATGCTATACAAGAAGCTATATTTATAGCTATATTTAGAGTACTAGGGTTTCCTATACAAGATATACAAATGGGTTAAGCCCAATACTATTAGGGTTTCCACAGGGTTGTAGCTCCCCTCAAGATTGCTGACCCAGAGATGCTACAAGGAGTATTTTTTAATGGCCTCAAAGAAGAAATTAGCTCAGAGCTGAAGTTGCACCGGACCACTGGATTAACTGATCTTATGGACACAGCCCAGCTAGTTGAACAGAAGAACAAGGTATGGACAGGAGAAACAAATAAAGAAGAAGACAACAAAGGCTTGAAGAACCAAGGAGGAAAAATTGTCAGAGCCTGGAAGTGGGTGGAAGCAACAAAAGGAAGAACAACTGCTCCGGAGAGAACACTCTCAGAGAACAAACTTGAGGAATCGCCAAAACCAAATAAGACATGGGAGAGTGGCCAAAGGTTGACACAAGCGGACTTAGAAGAAAGAAGCAAGAAGGGCCTATGCTTCAAATGTGGAAACAAATGGGGCAAAGAGCATGTATGTGGAATGAAAAATTTTCAATTTATCATGATGGAAGAGCCAGAAGAAGAGAAGGGAACAGAAGATCAGATATATGAACGGGATGAAGCTGAAAACCCGCTGAAACCCAATGGAAAATCAATCTCTTATCATCCACCTTGAGGACAAGGTGGAAGTTCAGGGGGGGGGGTGATGTTAGGGATCGGGCACTACAAATAATTAGAGTCTTATTAAGTATTTTAATGTTTTTCAACAATAGGGTTCTAGGCCCAATAACTTAAGTGAGGGCTGGCCCTTTTAGTGAGGTTTATTATAAAAGGGGGGTAGGGGAAAGAATAACGCAGGCAAAACTTGGGAACTGGGATCGGAACTGGGAGTGAGAGACCACTCGAAGAGTCTCAAACCTTTTCTTTCGTAATTTTCTGTATTCCAACCTTTAATCTTCATTAATACACTGCTTTTATCTACTGGGATTCCTCCGTTACTTATCAAAAATGGTTCAGATTTGTTAAATACGATGGCGCAATTGTCATGGCGATGGCCATGATGCAAATGTGGCGCTGCCCGTGTATGGTCGTCGCCATGAGGACTTTCCGTGACGCAGGGTGATTTTCTCGCCATATGGCGCACACGCCATTCCTCGCCATCGACAACTATGCAAAATGCCAATATCTTTCTGACGTGGAGAAAAGGAAAAGGGCTAGTCTCTCCACCTCCACCACCTTAATATAAACATTGGGATTGATGGCACGAAATTTATAGTATAAATCTTGATATAGATCTTGACCAAGAATCCAATCCACATAAGTTTGGGGATTGCTATTAGCATTGTTGATGTAATAGTTATATATTTATTACCGTATTTAAATTTTGTGAAAGATTATAGATAAGGATTTCTTTAGCAAGGGGGCATTATGAGATTAGGAGAATTTAGGACTCTTAGAGTTGGGCTGCTCAAGGCTGTTGGGCAAGTTAATCTTGCTGGAGGAATACCTTCGGGTATTTCATGTTCTTTTCTTCATACCTTCTACAAGAGTTTGTTTCTTCATTTTAATTTCAGTTTTGAAAAACATTTTATTTCTTGATTATTTGCTTTCATCTTTACGCTCTATCAATTGGTCTGACCTGCTAATATGAGGCCTTGAGCCTCATGTCTAGAATTAGTCAATACATGCAAAGATCTTTATGTAATATTACTTCATTACTTGCATGCTCCAAATAAGGTTTTGAAGTATCTTTGACTAATGATATTCTTTCAGGAGTTCTTCTCATTGCTTCTTGAGGCCCCTGTGATCGATGGTGACCTCCTGTCATGGGTATGACTTTCGACCTTGTTGTTACTCTTTAGCCATATACTCCCTCAGCTCTCAAATTACCATCCATTAAGGAAAAGTTGTTGGTTTTAAGGTGGTAATGATTATTGCTATAAATTAACAAATGTATCACTAATTTCTATATTAAAGAGTGTCAAGAAATATTTTGAAGTATTGGAGGCAAACCCAGGAATTTTACTTTTGGGGTTTGCTTAATGAACACCATTTGGGAACATGGGGATTATGCTGTCCACAGGCACACTCAATTAGTTCCAATGATCCCCTCCGTCTTGTTCTCCATTATTAGTTTATTGTGCTTCCACTGGATTGGCTGTTTGAGAAAGGTTGCATTTTCATGTTGGTTTATAAATTTAATATACTAATATGATAATATCCTGTTGAGTGTACTTCAAATGTTGATTAACATCAAACTGAGTGCTTGTTACAACAGACTAGGAAGCTGAAAGATCTGCTCATGAACTCTATTGGTTGGGACTTTGAACAAAACAGTGCAGCTACTGAATTAAATTTTGAAGATGACGAGGTGTGTGAAACTATATAAACAATACACTACCTACCTTTCTATCTATCAATTTTTCTAATACAAAATCTGTATAATATTCAACTGTTGCAGTATGCTCCAGTGGTGGAGGTAATAGATGATGGTGGTGATGATGATGTTGATCACAATGGAACACCAGCGGGAGGCATGGACACATCCTGAATCTAGGCCCTAGTAAGAATGGCAGCCACTCAATTATACCAATTTGTGTTTTTGAAAACGTTGCTGAAGAATTCAAAATTGAATTATTTATTTACCCTACTTTGTATTTTGTCTTTATATTCTTTCCTTAGACTAGATTCATTGTATGTGAATTATTATTTACTGCTCCTACTTAATAGCCGTTGGAATGTAACTATATATACACATGCATACTACTCACGTATAGGTGTGAGAGTCTGCACTTTGTCATCTTTATATTTCTCTCTCCTTGGTCAATAAACTCCACAAATAATATGGTATCAGATGATGATGATGGCACAAACTCCCCAGGCCTCCACAAAACTACGGCCATAAGCTCTACCTCCACACACATCCACTCCCACCCCTCCTTTCATGATACTGATAGTCCCTACTTCATCCACCCTTCCGATAGCACCGGCGCCGCCTTGGTCGGCCACCTCCTCACCGGCCTGGATGATTACAACGCTTGGTCTCTTGCCATGGTTATGGCTCTCCGAGGTCGCAACAAGTTTTCCTTTGTTGATGGCTCTCTTCCCATGCCCACTCCGGATGACCCTAACCATGACCGTTGGCACCGCGTTAACAACTTGGTCATGTCATGGATCCTTCACTCTATCCATGTCAACCTTGCCCACACCATCCTTTACGCTCCTGATGCTGCCACCGTATGGTTGGACCTCAAGGCTCGTTTCTCCACCTCTAGCGGCCCTCGGATTTACGACCTTGAACGCCAAATATCTACTCTTACTCAACATGATGACTCCATTGCCGTTTATCATAATAAGCTTCAATGTCTTTGGAGTGAATTAACTCTTATTGATCCACCCCCTAAGTGCACTTGTGACCAAGGTTTGAAATTGCGTATTGCGTTGTCATGGCGTTTTTTCAGAATTGCATATTGCGTAAGCCTCATTGCGCAATGAGGCGTATGCCAGAGGTGTAATATACACACACAAATATATATACATATGTGTGTGTGCAAACACAAAATAAAATAAAATAACTTTCTCACCATAAGTTATCAAATGTCATATTAAAACAAATTATAATGAGGCCATAATCCTAGCAAAGAAAAATGTTTAAAGTACCACAAGATAGGAAACATTCTTGAACTGTTATCATAACAAAATCCCTAACATACTAGAATTTTAAGTTTATTAGATTGATGGCGGCAAAATCAAACCATCATTATCTAGTAGTTTTAAATAGGGATCACAATCGCAGAATATGCTTATTATAAAAGTTAAGAAGTGGGTCGATTGAGCCCAAATAATACCCTTACACCCTAACCTACCATTGTGTACGCCTTATTGCGTATGTGATATTGCGTAAGTTTCACCACAATATTGCGTACGCCACACTCCCAACGCAATATGCAATGCCTTTTATGCCATAGTTCGAGAATTAGCTGAGGCGCGCCATGAGGCGCAATTGCATTGCGCAATTACAAACAATGCTTGTGACGCTCGCACTTAATACGCCGCCCAACTTGACCGCCGCCGTCTCATGCAATTTCTTATGGGTCTCCGTGACACATTTGCGGCATCACGTAGCCAACTTTTACTCACCACCATCCTTCCTCCTGTCCACCAAGCCTATAACTTACTTCTTCAAGATGAAGCCCAACGTCTCCACAGTGAGTCTTATCAAACTGAGACCACATCTGCCCTTCTAGCTACACCGGCTAGCCCGACCGGAAAATCATATCATGCTCATGCAAGTGCCATCTCACGCAATCAGTCTCGCCCAAACTCCAATAGGCCTCGTTGCACGCATTGTGGCATTCCTGGGCATACTCAACAAGTATGCTACCGATTGCATGGATATCCGCCGGGTCATAAATACTACAAAAAGGGCAATACTCATGGTGCTCCGAAAGCCACCACAGTGAATACCGCCAATTCGACCTCCTCGGATTCCATTCAACAACTTCTTCGTCTTCTTCGAGAGGTAAACGAACCTAAGGCCAATCTTGCCGGTACGTCACTTACTCTTGCCTCATTTTTACAAATTTCTCAAGAGTGGATTATTGATACGGGTGCCACAGATCATGTCTCTTTTAATCCTAACATTTTTTCTGCTCCTCCCACCACACTTATGGATAAGCGCACTATATCCATCCCTGATGGCTCAGTAGCCCCCATTCATGGCATTGGAACTATTTATTTATCTCCCAAACTTACTTTATCTAATGCTTTATATGTTCCCTCATTTCACTATAATTTACTTTCAGTTACAAAATTGTCTAATGGTTTAAATTGTAGGGTTATTTTTTATCCTAACTATTGTATTTTTCAGGACCTTTCGACGAAGGAGGAGATTGGTCGGGGCCTTAGAAAACATGGACTTTATTTTCTTACACTTGCACCCGCATCCACCACACTTTTAGCTGCATCCCCTACCACTTGGCACGCCAGGCTTGGCCATCCGTCCCCTGATGTTTTTAAATTATTGTCCCCTGTTTTTGGTTGTTCAAATAAATTACATTTATGTGATATTTGCCATTTATCTAAACAAACTAGATTGCCTTTTCCCATTCGTAGCACTTTTACTAAACAGTGTTTTGATTTAATTCATATTGATGTTTGAGGAAAATGCAAAAATCCCACAAATAATGGTCACTATTATTTTTTAACCATTGTTGATGATTTTCCCCGCATTACATGGACTTATTTGATGAAATTTAAAACTGATGTTTTTTCATTAGTTGTCCATTTTTTGGCTTACATTAAAAACCAATTTCACACTTGTGTCAAAATCATACGATCCGATAATGGAACAGAATTTACTAATCATATTTTTCAAAAGGTTCTTCATGAAAATGGCATCCTTCATCAAACAAGTTGTCCCAGTACTCCACAACAAAATGGGGTAGTTGAGCGTAAGCATCGCCATCTTCTCAATATGGCACGCGCCTTACGCTTCCAAGCGGGCCTTCCACTATCATTTTGGGGCGATTGTATTCTCACCGCCACTTATCTAATAAATAGAACTCCATCACGTATTTTGAAAAATAAAACACCTTTTGAAATACTACATCAACAACCTCCTAATTTTAAATCCTTACGTACATTCGGTTGTTTATGTTTTGCATTGACCGGCTATCAACGTTCCCACAAATTTGCACCTCGAGCAAGAAAGTGTATATTTTTAGGATACCCGCAAGGGCAAAAGGCATATCGTCTATATGATCTCACTGATAAATCTTATTTTGTTAGCCGTGATGTTATTTTTTATGAAGAAATATTTCCTTTCCAACATTTGCCTAACGTCGATGCTACCATTTCACCCCATATTTTACCTTTGCCCATTCCCCACCAGGAGACAGTCTGACAGTCTTTCAGGACACTCATTTTCTCCCTGACACTCAACCTTATCCCAGGACACCCATTTCTTCCAAAACCCCACAAAAACAATTTTTTACCCCAGACATTTTGGGACCTACTCCCACTCACGAGACTACCTCCCTTTCACCACCCTCCACAAGTAAATTGCCACTGCACAACCCACTGTCAGTAGCCCCACAATAAAAAACCACCCAAAATAATCTCACCACCACTGCTCCAAAAATAATGGATCCAAATAATTTGAATTTTCCCGTCCAGCTAGATGCATGCACACCCGTACCTTCACAAAACTACGAAAATACAGCAGCTATCTATCCCCCACCTCGACGCAGTACCCGCCAAACCAAGTTTCCCCATTACCTCGGCGATTATCAATGCCATGCAGCCCACACTCACTCCCCTTTATATCCTTTAACTAATTTTATTTCTTCCACCCCCTATTCTGCAGGTCACGTTCGATATATCAACAATCTCATCCAACATGTGGAACCCACCTCCTACACCATGGCATGCAAAGACCCTCTTTGGGTTCAAGCCATGCAAACTGAAATTTCCGCTTTACAAGCAAATAATACTTGGTCCCTTCAACCATTACCCGTCGGCAAACATGCCATTGGTTGCAAATGGGTTTATCGCATAAAATATAAACCCGATGGCACTATTGAACGTTACAAAGCCCGTCTTGTTGCTAAAGGCTATTCTCAATTAGAAGGTTTTGATTACACTGACGTTTTCGCCCTAGTAACTAAATTGACCACGGTTCGCACCGTCCTCAGTATTGCGGCTGCCAAAGGCTGGTCCACCCACCAACTTGACGTCTCCAATGCATTTCTCCATGGTCACTTAGACGAGGAAGTATACATGCAACTACCACCCGGTTTTCGCCAAAAGGGGGAGCATCGTGTTTGTCGCCTTCATAAATCCATATATGGACTTAAACAAGCATCCCGAACCTGGTTTTCCACTTTTTCTAATTCTTTATTACACGCCGGATTTACTCAATCTAAAGCTGATTACTCTATGTTTATTTATAAAAGAAAACAACATTTAACAATATTGCTTGTGTATGTAGATGATATTGTCATAACAGGTGACGACGAGCTCCTCATCCCTATAATCAAATGGTACCTAGCATGCAATTTTCACCTCAAGGACCTTGGACCATTAAAGTATTTTTTAGGAATTGAGGTTGCACGCTCCTCTTCTGGCATATTTCTCAACCAAAGAAAATATGCTTTGGAGATCCTCAATGATGTTGGACTCTTAGCTTGCAAACCTACTGTCACACCCATGGATACTACTACTCGCCTACTTGCTGACACAGGCACACTACTTGATGACCCATCACGCTACCGTCGTTTGGTTGGTCGGCTCCTATACCTTACTGTCACAAGGCCAGATATTACTTACGCGGTTAACCAACTCTCCCAATTCATGTCATGCCCTCGGCAACCTCATTGGAATGCCGCTTTACGTGTTGTTCACTACCTAAAGTTGGCTCCTGATCGTGGTATCCTTACGTGTTGTTCACTTCCTTACACCTTAATGCATATTGTGATGCTGATTGGGCATCATGTCCCACCACCCGCCGTTCTACCACCGGATATTGTACATTTTTGGGGACTAGTCCAATTTCGTGGAGAACTAAGAAACAAACAACTGTATCTCGTTCCTCCGCTGAAGCTGAATACCGATCTATGGCGACCGCAACGAGTGAAATCACATGGCTCCAATTACTTCTCTCGGAACTCGGAATACCATGCCAACCTGCTCACCTCCATTGTGACAATCAAGCCGCTCTACACATTGCAAATAATCCAGTATTTCATGAGCGTACAAAA